CATTATCCTACCTACACCCAGTTATCAGTCTTCAGCTAACAGAGAAGTAGCCTACACTTTACAATGAGAACTTATCAAACGCTAAGCGTAAGTATAATTAATCATATCAGCGGGTGTTGTTTGTGTTTCGGATACAGGATTTGCCAATTAAACCGCGACTTTAACGACAACAGGCCACAGCACCTCGTTCATATAGGGCACAGTATATGAGAGGCGGCGATGCAGCAGCGTGCTATTTTCACTGCTCAGGTTTAAAGCTTTAAATTTGAACCTCTTTTCGCTGATTTGGAGAATTGTCTGGAAACTTGTGGGATTATTTAATTAATTCATTTGTAGCCACACTGACGGGTAAAGTTTCATAGATACTACTTACCTCGTAGTGCTTCATCTTGGCAGTTTGCACCCCTTCCTTAGTATCCCAGATGAGTGACAGGAAACCGTCCAATCAGCGAAGTAATACACAACTGCTGAGGCACAGAGCCGTGCACCATAGGTCAGCACTGCGATCGCGCCGCAGCCAATCAGCTCCCGCATCAATTGCGCGTACACGCCTGGCTTATCAGGGATGTAGCCAATGGGACGAGCATTCGGAGCGGTCGCGTCTACGCCGATATTGTTGGATTTTTTTTTGTAGTCTAAAGGGCAGCTCTCTCAAGTGAACAAGAGATTGTAGAAAACGGTTTTCCCCTGCAGTCTTCCTTGTAAATTAAGTGTTGTATTAATAAAGTTTGATTTTTTTTAATTACCTGTCATGTGTCACTTCAATGTCTCAAATTTAATGCATTAGTGTCTCTGTATGTTTTTGTTTGTCACATTACTGGTGGACTCTTTTGTCACTCCATTTCCTCTTTCAGAATCCCTTTTCAACCACTCAACATTTGACCAATGGACAGCATCCTCCAAGTCGAGCAACATGCAGTTGGGATTTGTGCTTAACGCATGGTAGTGCGATTGTGTCAGTTTGCCACTGTGCATCATTAAAAACACATTATTTACCTATGTAACTTATGATTACCTATACCTGTTTACCTAGTTGTTTTCAATAGGTCTAAATGTTCTTCTGGCCTCCAAAATTCTTCTGCATGCTGCTCAACATGGATGATGCTGTGGGTTGGTAATAAGCAAAGGGAATGACAGCAACCCCCCAAAAAAGGTTTAGGATTAGGTTAACTGGTGATTCTAAACTAGCCAAATGTATGAGTGTGAATGGTTGTCTCTCTCTACTCAGTGTGGTGTGTTGTTAATCTTACAATAGGCTGGCAACCTGTTCAGGGTGTACCCTGCCTCTTGTCCTATGAAAAAAAAAGGAGACTGCTACAGTGATTTGGGTGGGTCTTTCTGTTACCACCCTTTCAGTTTGTACTGGCAGCAGCACTCACCTGGAAAACAGGTTTTCCTTCACATGACGAAGAAGTTTATCTTACAAATTGGAATATATTACTTTTATACAACCCAGTGCTGTCTTGCACAACAGCGAATGAAACTGAGGAAACCCACAGAGTGCAGACAGGAGTCTAGTGA